TGAAAGATAATGTTAATTTAATGTCAGGAAGCAAGAAAGTTGCCGTTTATGCTGTGGTAACAAATTAGCTGTTCCGGTTTTGTTTTCCTGGACAGTTGCAGCGTTTCCCCAGCTGTTTCTGAACCAAGTGACTGACTTTACCAAGCAAGATCTGCTGTCACTCTAATAATAATGCCTGTTGTCTGCCTTCTGTCTTCTTTTCCGTCCACTTATTTTGTCCCTGATCCATGTGTTGTGCTTCGAATGAGGAAGGTCCTAGTTTTGTTTAAGACAGCAAGGCAGAGCTGTGGGTTTGTAACACAGTGAAAACACCAGGTAGGAAAAGCTGTGCTGGGGAAAACCACTGCCTCGCTGGGCTCAGGCACTTCGTTCTGCATTTGCATATGAAAGATTCTGATAACAGTCTGGCGGAAGAAAAAGGGCGGGTGAGACAGGGAGATTTCTGGCAGGTGTCTGTTAATGTTTGACGAGTTGTTCGAGCTCCCGGCCGGCACAGCTCATACCCAGCTCTTGCCCTCGTTATTTACTCTCCCTGGCACTGCAGCTGCTCGTTCTCAAGCTCCCTACCCTGGAGCTGCCCTGGGCACTCTGGAACACTCCCCCCCCCTCGGCGGGTGCTGGGCACGCTCTGGATTTGGGGCAGCAGCAGAACCGTGACCCGCAGTGCTGGGCGAGGGCTCCTGCACAGACCAGGGTGTTTCTTGTCCTCGGACCCTCTCACTTGTGCAGGTCCGAACTTGGTGCTGCCCTTCCTCCAGGGCTGGGGCCGGGGCTGCCCCTCTGCACTCCCATCCATCCCGATCCCTGCCCTGCCTGCAGGGAGCAGGGCACGGCCGAGCCGGGGGGCAGCAGGGGGGTTGTGAGGAGAAAGGCAGACCGGCCCATTCTCATGTAAAACGTATTTGTGAGGAGACAGGCAGTGCTTGGCTGTCACAGACCAGGGAGGGAGATAACGCCAAGGCTCAACGTGGAGGCGGTATTTCAGTGTTTGTGTGAGGAGCTGCTGCACACACGGTCACACTGACTTGGTCTGTGTTCTGCACACACGGTCACAGTCACACTGCCTTGGTCTGTGTTCTCCTGCACACACAGTCACAGTCACACTGCCTTGGGTCTGTGTTCTCCTGCACACACAGTCACACTGCCTTGGGTCTCTGTTCTGCACACACAGTCACACTGCCTTGGGTCTGTGTTCTGCACACACGGTCACACTGCCTTGGGTCTGTTTTCCCCGACAATCCACTGCCGTGCTGCTCAGCCCTGCTGTCCATGGGCGGTGCTCTGGCACACTCAGGACCCCCCTGCTCTGCTGTTCGGTCCTCCCCGGGGACAAGGACCGTGCACACCCAGCCCCTGCTGCCCCCGCAGCGGCCGAGCCGGTGCTGCCCGCGGGGCTGGGCGGGCTCCGGGGATGGATCGCTGGAGGGGGGAGGATGGGTCCTCCCGGGCATTCTCTGCTCCGCAGCGCTGTGAGACACGACAGCAGGCACGGAATGGGGAATCTGCTCTGAATCATCACGCTGTAGGAACCTTACGCTCACCAAACCACCTCTTGTTCCTTGGATCGATTCCATCAATAATTCTGGGAGAGATGGCTGAGGAGTGGTTTTGGCAAGGTGACACCGTTTGCTTTCTCCCCATCTAGAGCTTTTTGGGTTGTGTGGCTCCCTTGGGTTTTACATTCTGTGCCGAGATGATTGTAACCCTTCCTCTGGGACGCCTGAGAGCAGCTGCTGTTTCTGTCTAGACACCCGGGCAAGGATGGATATGACGAAGAGCTGTTTTCCTCCTCTGGCTCGGGATTAAATCTCTCTGTCACAGGTAAGGTCTGCACAGGTTTATTTGCTGGGGTGAATAGAAGGCAGGGAAGGTTTCATTCTTCCTGCTGCCACTTCACGTGGAAGGGCTCTGCACAGATGGTGGGGGGTGCTGTGAAAACACATTTCAGTGAGTCTTTCTGCCTGAATTAACCTGCTCCCCCCTGCACAAATGACAGGCACCGCTTGTGTAGCGGGAAATGGACCTTCCCTGGGAGATAGGAGGGTTTAACACTGCCCAAGTATTGTTCAAAGATGTGTTGTTATTCATATGCTAACTGGATGCTCCCTGCTTCCCTGAGTTGCTCTCTATCATCTCCTCCAGCCAAATATCTCCTTGTAACACTGGCAAGCAATTAACTATCATTCATAATTACAGGGTAAAAAGCTTTGCAAGGAAACTGTCTCATTAGAATAAGAATATACCAGACTGCATTATACAAACCATACCATACGTAATGAGAACATGTGTCATTTTCAAAAATTAGTGACTAAAATGAAGAGCCATGGGTGACTTTTAAGGAGATCCAAAGTCCCCAAATATCAAAGGTATTAAGCAGTAACTCAGTGGAAAACTGGAGCAAAAACAAGAACAGTCTACTAGTACTTGGGCTTTGTTGATAAAAACAGCTTGTAAACACTAACAGCAATTACATATTAATGAATCTCTCACTGACCATTAAATAACAGGGTATCTCTGGTTTTTTCCTTAAGACCAGGGCATTTCTCTAAGGAAATGGATACGTCTTCCCAAAAATACCCAGTCAAAAAGCGAGTGAAAATCCATCCCAACACAGTAACAGTGAAATACACTTCTCATTATCCCCAGCCAGGAGAAGAAGGATGTGAGGATGTTAATGAAGATCCTGGAGTATTTAAGGAGGATAATCCTAAGAGAAGACTACTGAGTGATGGGAGAAGGAGAGAAAGGACTTTTTTTGGTACAATAGACACCAAGCCAGCACAACTGCCCAAACCCACTGAGGTGGGGCAGTGCCAGCATTTTCCTGAAGGGAATCCCCTGCAGTCCAGGAGGACGTGGGCAGTCCTGTTCGGCTCTGCCGTGGCTCACGGCTGCGTGGCTCTCATCACCAGATTGGTTTCTGACCGCTCCAAAGTGCCCTCCCTAGAGCTGATCTTCATCCGCTCGGTCCTGCAGGTGCTGTCCCTCGCTGTGGTGTGCTACCACCACGAGCCTCCCTTCGGCCCCAAGGGCTACAGGCTCCGGCTCTTCTTCTACGGGGTGTGCAACGTGGTCTCCATCACCTGTGCCTACACCTCCTTCTCCATAGTGGCCCCCAGCAATGGAACCATCATGTGGAGGGCGACCACCACGGTGTTCAGTGCCATTCTGGCTTTCTTACTCATGGATGAGGGAATGGCTCACATAGACATAGTTACTGTGGTTGGCAGCGTGTTCGGCGTTTGCCTGGTCACGATCCCCAACATTGTTAAGGAGGAAAACTCTCTGCTGAGCACCTGGAAGGAAGCTTTTGGCTACACCATGACCGTCATGGCCGGCCTGACCACTGCCCTCTCCATGATAGTCTACAGGTCCATCAAGGACAACGTCAGCATGTGGACAGCCCTGTTCACCTTCAGCTGGACGGGGACGCTGTGGGGAGCGGCCACCATGTTCCTGCTCCAGGAGCCAATCGTGCCCCTGGATGGAGAAACCTGGAGCTACCTCCTGGCCATCTGCCTGTGCTCCACCGCAGCCTTCCTGGGGGTCTACTACGCCCTGAGCAAGTTCCACCCCGCGCTGGTGAGCACCGTGCAGCACCTGGAGGTCGTCATCGCCATGGCCCTGCAGCTCCTCGTGCTGCGCATCGTCCCGGGCGCCTGCGACCTGCTCGGGGCCGCCCTCATTCTGGCCAGTGTCTTCTTCCTGGCGTGTCACAAACTCTCCTGGATGAATTTAAGGCAGCAAGATTATCAGGAGATTGTGGACTCCTCCATTAAATGAACCACAGATTCGCTGTCTGAGTCTGGCTGTGACCACGTGAACATAACTCATTTCAGCTCCCGTGCCCCGGTGTCGTGGCCAGGCCCTCTCTCTTGCCATTTCAGTTCTCAGCTGATGTAGCAATGTTGGTGTTCCCAGACTCCCATGCCAGGTGAATTTGTTCTGCTGCACATAACGACTGACATTTTGTCATACACAAAAGGGCACCACACAGGGTGCAGGAGCAGAAGCACAGGCTGGCCCACAGAAGGGAAGGCCAAGTCACACATGTTCTTCCTCCCCTTCCCTGGATAAGGCAGTACAGAGGGGGTCACTGGTGACTCTCATTCCTGTGCACTGTGGAAGTAGGAAAATGAGCAGTAAAACCATTGCAGTGGTCCGAGTTCTCTGTAACGCTTCTTAAGTTTTGCCTGCAATATTCTAAATGAAGTAATGTTAAATTTCTGTGGCTAAAACTCATGTTTCCTGTGTGTACAGAAGTCAGTAAAGCTTCTTGTGCTTTGTGGTTAAATTTCTGTCTGAACCAATGCAGGAAGCCCCAATCTCCTGTAAGGGAAAGAGAGCCCCAAACACTGAATCTCCAGTTGTGCCACAGCTGGCAAAGGTCCCCAGGAACTACAAGGTCTGTGATAGATCAAAGATCTACCCCTGAAGCAGAGCAAAACCCTTTCTATGGAACCACTTTTTCTAAAAAAGAGGTTTCAACTATTATGCAAAGGAGGGGAAAAAAAGGGAGAAAATAAAGATTGTGTCTGAGGTCAAGGTGTGAGCACTGCTGGTAACACTGAGCAGCCTGGAAGGCAGCAGGGACTTCAGTCAGGGTGCCTGGGTCCCACCACTGCAGTTAGAAAGCAGATCTACAAAAAGCCTCAGGGTTCTGTGGTTGCAAACACTGCTCCTGGCCATGCCAATGTCCAGCTGTAAAGAGAAAGGCCAGCATCCAAGACTCTGTCAGTGGTCTCCATGCCAACCAGGCCCAGCAGGCATCTCCCCACCCCAGCCGATTGTGCCTCTGTTCTGGGACGTGAGCGTTTTCCAAGGAAAAATGCATCACTCAGATCACCCCAACCACTCCAGCTTCCCCCATGGAAAACACATTTTACTTGGAAAAAGCCACAGCAGCAGCAATTACTTTTATTCCTATGAATACCCCAGAGAGCAGGTTCCCTGACACCAGCCAGCCCAGGTCTGTGTGACACCCACGTCCCCCCACGTCGCTGACCCCCGGTGTCAGGGGGACAGGGTTCCTCAGGCACTGGCACAGTGACAGCTGCCCTGACCACTGTTTCCTTGAGGAGCAGGAGGAGCTGGCAGGAGGAGTTGTGCCCACTGCAGGAAGGACAGGAGGAAGGGGAGCAGGTAAAGCAATGTGGTGCTGGGAAAGCCGTGCCCGGCCAAAAATCCCTCTGGTAGCTCAGGGCAGGGCAGGTCCCAGCCCAGAATCTTGCTGTGCTTCTATCAGCTGATTTCTCTCTGGGGCAGATGGTCTTTCTTCCTCTGACTGCTCAGACAGCAGGAAAGCTTCCTTTATGGAAAGTAACCAGGGCAAAAGGCTCCAGCTCCCACGGCTGCCGTGCCTGTCCCACTCCGCAGGGAGCCAAGCTCGTGACTGTGCCTCACTCCTGCCAACACATGCCGTGCCTGCAGCCAGCTGGGTACCTGCTGCCAGCAAGGAGCACTCGGCAGCAACACTCCCCAGGAGCCTCCCCTGAGCAGTGGGGATGAGTCCTGAGCCGCCCCAGAGCAGCAAAGCCCCCTCCTCACACCCTCCCTGCCCCCCCAGGCACCCTGAGCGCAGACTGGCAGAGGCACCCAGGAGCCAAGCGGGGCACAGTCCCCCCCCAGGACCTGGGTGATGGCCAGGAGGGTGCCCAGGGCTACGGAGCGTGGTGCTGCTCCAGCTGTGCCACCGCCTGCAGCAGGTCCTGCACCGCCAGGTCCACGTCTGCCCGCGAGGTGTGCCGGCCCACGCTGAGCCGCAGGGCGTTCTGTGCCACGGCGGGGGGGATCCCACAGCCCAGCAGGATCGGGGAGGGCCTGGGACACAAGGGGTGGGCGGGTTGGACTGAAGGCCAAGGAAACACACACTCCACCAGGAACCTCCCCAGGCTGTGAGAGGGAGCCCATGTGCTCCAGGCAAACCTGTCTCCTGTACAGCACCCTGACTGCTGTCCAAGGGCAGCTGCTCTCACTGCGCTTGTTGCCCTACGGAGGATCTGGCTCTTCCCCTCCCAGGAAGAACCTGTGCCACGTCCCCGTGGGTTGGCAACTCTGCCATATCTAAAGAGCACTGCTCTAGACCAGACCAAAAGCAGCTGCTGTTCCCACCTTCCCCAGAGGAGCCATCTGGAGACACAAACGGGGCTGCAGTGAGTGAGCCAGACACACGTGGACATAAGGCAGGCTCCCTTCTGGCAGCAACACGAGTTCCAAAGTACTTCCAAGCTCAGCTGGATCACCAAAGCCGGGAGGGACAAAGTCCCTCCAAGCAGCAATCAAGCGTTCCAACTGTGTCTCCTGCAATAATCCCCTTCCCAGCCCTTCAGCCCCTCTGGAAAGCTCTGCACTCTCTCTGCTCCAGGTGACACTGCCCAAGCCTCACACAGGTCCCTTCCCTGCCCCGTTTCCCTCCCTTGGCAGACCCCAGGCCCGGAGCAGCCAGCGCTTACCGCTCCCCCTTGTCCGAGTGGCAGGCGGCCCCCACGCTGGCCAGCAGCACCTTGCAGTGAGCCAGCACCCTGTGCCCTGCAGGGACACAGCACAGCTCTGCTCTGTGCCAGGGCCACCCTGCCCCATGGCCACCCTGCCCCACAGCCCTGCCCGGTGCCACAGTGGGCACGGGGGCTGTGAGGGGCAGGGGCGTGGCTCCGTGGGCACAGCACAGGTCAGTGCTGGGGGAAGAGCTACCTTGGAGGCCTGGTCCCAGGATGGAGAAGTTAGAGGTGTTGCAGAGTCGCTTGGAGCCCTTAAAGCGACTGTTGAAGTGGATCCTCTCCTTCCCAAAGGAGGCCTGGAGAAATCAGAGGGCTGTGAACTCCTCGAGGTTCACGAGCAGCTCTGCCCTGACGAAGGGGTGGCAGGGCCAGAGGGACATAACCCACCCTGCTCCAGGCCCTGCTCTGCAGGCTGACACCCCAGGAAGGGCCCAGGTGTGCTCACCTCCAGCCTGGCCTCCAGGTAATCCCGGACATCCCGCATATGAGCCTCGTAGGCCTCCCAGTTCTTGCTCACCAACTCTGCAGCCTGAGGACATAAAATCCCGACACTGATACCTCCCCCTGTGTGTGGTCCCTGGAATGAGAGTCCAGCCTGGAACAGTCTCTGTGATTGCCAGCTCCCTGTGTCCCCCATGGCCCCTCGGTGCCCTGAGCTGTGTGACTGCCAGGGCAGCAAACCTGCAGCAAGTGCCCCGAAGCACCTCATCCCACTGGCACCAGAAAGCTTCATCTCCCTTCCCTGTAGTTCTCCTGCCCTCCTGCACCCTAATTTTGTCACTTCTAATGATCAGCAAGCACAAGTGGCTGTCCCTGTGCTGGTTCTGCCAGGAAGCACCTGCAGGGAACCACTTCGGCCCTGCCCATCACCAGCTCACCTGGCCCAGGCCAGCGATCATCGGGGTGTTCTCGGTGCTGGAATGGAAGAGGGAAGAGTGAGTTATTTCTCTGGACCAGAAACCCAACCTGTGGCACAGACATTCCCTGGGTGGGACCCCTCACCACTGGCACCTCCCTGGGAAGGGGGCAGTTCCACTCTGGGGTCCCACCTGTGGCGAAGCCTGAGCCCCAGGGAGTTCCACACATGGATGCGTGTCCCTGCTGTGCCGGGCTGCTCGCCCCAGGGCTGGCAGTGACACAGCTGCCAGCTCAGCTCAGATAAGGCAGCCACCTGTGGCTTGGCCACCAGCCCCAGCTCCCGGGCCACCCCCACCACCTTACCCTGGGCGGAAGCTCCTCTCCTGTCCCCCCCCGAAGAGCAGGGGGTGCAGGGGGGCCGTGCTGCCGGGGCCGTGCACGTACAGGGCACCGATGCGGGGGCCATAGAACTGTGGGACAGACAGCACTGTGACTTGGGGACACTGCCAGCCCCCCCCGTGCTCCGGCACACACCCACTGCCCTCCAGGGCTGGGCTGGCCCCTGCCCATCCCATGGGCACAGAGCGCTGCAGGGCTGTTCCCCATCCCTGGTCCTCTCCTGCTCCCTCCTCCAGACAGGGCCCTGACCCGCAGGGTCTGCAGAGCCCCAGCCAGCAGGAAAGCTTTGGCCACTGACAAGGCACTGAGCTGTGGGGCCACCCAAAGTCCCCCTGGCACCCCCACAGAGATGTCTGACAGGGCAAACAGCGGCTGGGCCAGGTGAACAAGGCCACACCCTGTGTCCCCCCATGGTGAGGAGGGGCCTTATCCTGTGCCCCCACGGTGAGGAGAAGCCGTACCTTGTGCCCCCACAGTGAGGAGGAGCCGTACCTTGTGCCCCCCATGGTGAGGAGGGGCCTTACCCTGTGCCCCCACGGTGAGAAGGAGCTGTACCTTGTGCCCCACGATGGTGAGATAGTCCACGCCCAGCTCCTGCACGTCCACACGCCCCTTGCCGATCATCTGGGCCGCATCCGTGTGCAGCAGCACCCGGGGCAGCCCCTGCCCCGCCCTGCGCTGGTTGAGGGCTCTGACGCGCTGGCTCAGCTCCGCCACGGGCTGTGGAGGGTGAGGGGCTGTGTCCAGGGCCCCCCGCTCCCTGCTCAGGCACCTCTTTGCGGGGCTGCCCCACACTCACCATGATGACGCCGGTCTCATTGTTGGCCAACATGAGGGACACCAGGCAGGTGTTGGGCCGGATGGCAGCGAGGACATCGTCCACCTCGGCCCGCCCGCTCTGCGGGGACACGGGCACAAAGGTGGCTTCTGCGAGCAGAGAACAAGCATGAGGTTTGCTGGGGAGCCCGAGGGCACCCGGGGCTGCCTGCGCCCCGCTGGGCAGGGCAGGAGTGTGGGGCAGCAGGTGCAAAGGCACGAAACACCTTCCTGAGGGAATGGGGCACCGCTGGTGGAGCCAGAGCCCTTTTGGGGGAAAGGGGAACAGCAGGGAGCTCGTAGGTCCCACCCTCCTCCACAGAAATGCCCGTGGAGAGAAGTCCACCACGCAAACCTCACCCTGCCCCTGTGCCACCCACCTGCCAGGCTGTCCTTGCCCAGCTGCTCCAGGGGCAGGCGGATGGAGTCGTGCTCCACACTGGATGTCACGATGTGCGGTGTCCCCGGGCTGTCCCCGGTCTGGCTCTCGAGGAAGTGCCTGCGAGCAGTGTGGATCACCATGTTGTTGGCCTGGGGACAGGAGACAGAGGGAGGTGAAGGCCCAGAGGAAGCAGGTGCCCTTCGTCTCCACTGACCCCATCGCTGTTTGCTGGGGAGGGGATCGGGGCTCAGTGCTCCCACCTCCGTGCCCCCCGAGGTGAACACGATGTCCTCAGGCCGGGCCCCCACCATCTGTGCCAGGCTCTCCCTGGCTCTGCCAATCAGCTCCTTGGCCTTCCTGCCTACAGGACGACACCTGGCAGCTCCCATGGCCCCCGGATACGGGTCTGGCCCAGGGAGCCCCCTTTGCCCCCCTGGTCCTTACCTGCAGGGTGAGCGCTGCTGGGGTTGCCCCAAGCCTGGCTCAGGGCATCCTGCACGGCCTGGGCTGCCTCGGGGGCCAGCGGGGTGGTGGCGTTGTGGTCCAGGTACACCCTCCTGGGGGCAGGGGGCAGGTGAGGAGCACTGGGGGA